AGAAGTGTGTGTGAGAGAGGAACGTGACTAGAAGGGGATTTCATGGGAGAGAGCTCTTGAGAAGATTTTGGGGTTTGTGAGAGGAAGGAGAAGGTGGACTTTGTGAGGGAGGAGTGTGAGGGAGATAACACTGTTGCTCCTAGCTTGTTGCATGTTGCTCCTCCTGTGGCCCGAGAAGATATTATGGGAGGCTTTCTAAGGGGGAGATCTTTCAAGGTCCGTATACTCTAATAGGGTACTCTGCCTTCTCCTGGAGGGAGAAAAATGAGAAGGTTCGCTGCCGTCACCGGGAGGGTGACATAGCGCTTAGTACTCCGCCACACCATGGTGGTGAAAGTGATGTTTGTAAAGGCTTATCCTCCTTTCTGTTGGGGCAAAAGGAGAATTACTATTTAGCAGTAAAATTCCTAGAGTGGAGGACTCCGGAGAGTGGACGTAGGTCAAGTGATCGAACCACTATAAATTCTCTAGTGTGATTTTTCCTTTACTGCACTTTATTTATGTTTTGCATTTTACTTTTGTCAACATTGCTTGATAAAAATCATAGTGGAATTCTTTGTTGAATAAGTTAAAATTTCACCACTTATTGTTGCAATCATGTTTTAAGCATTCGCTTCCGCATCAACTTAATATTTTTGTTTAAAATTTAAAAACACAAAAAAATAGAACTCCTGTTTAGGTTTATCTTTTTATTGCAATAAATTTCCAATTCCCCCCCCCCCCTCTCTTGGCGCATCTCGTACTTTTATATAGATCCATTTATGTAACCAAGTGGTTGGACTTTCACAAACTTCTTCGTAATTTGGTTGAACTCTCCCACAAGGAAATCTCTAATCGATTCTAGCCAATTGTAAGATAAAAACTACTATGTAGCATGAGCTGCACTAAGGATAGTAGCTGGTATTCGGTAGTTACGCAAATGAATAAAAGGTTGGACAATAAATAAATGATGAATTTCTTCACAAGCTTGGGAAGTGGAGTTGAGTCGTCCAGACTAAACACCTCCTTCTTTATGTCATTTCCGAATTTCTCGGTGATTCAGACACTTCCCAAGTCAAAATGATTTCCTTTATTCGGCAGGCCTAAGATCAAGGAAACTTCATCGACAGTGAATGCTAACTTCCTTTTCTTAATGATGAAGCATTACTTTTTGATATCCCAGAATGACAACAACTTGTAAACCAATGGAACATTATGAACGAAGCGTTGCATCGACATAAATTGATGTAGTTGAACATGCCTATACACAAAATCTTAGCCGAATGTTTCAACCAAATGATCGCATACTTCTCTAAATGTCGAAGTTATACAACAAAAACTAATCTTTGGAACATATCCCTGCAAATTAGTTGAAGTTGATAAGCAAAAAGTACCTAGCAGTACCCACCAAAAGTACCCAGATGCTGTTCCGAGTGGTACCCAACAGTACCCAGTGGTACCCAGACAGGGTAAACAGAAGGGATACCTAGACGGGATACCTAGGTGGGTACCGAGCGATTCCCAGATGATACATACTACAAAATATACAAAAAAACCCTAACCATAAACTATAAAACATGACATTTAAAGAAATAAAACTTATTCTAGTAAAAAAAATCGGTAGCCATGCCTTTTGTTTTTGCACCGAATAGAGGTACACAGCAGTACGTTACCCAGATGGGGTACCCAGCGATACACACCGATGAACACTGATATGCACAGGTACAAACCGGTACCCACTGGTACATAATATACAAAAAAACCTAACCTTAAACAATAAACATGAACAAATATAAGTTATCCTGGTATGAAAAAAACTGACCATAGTCATGCCTTCAATTTCTGCAATGAAAAATGTGGAGTAAACGTAACGAGCTTCAGACGAAGAAGAAGATTTCCTGCAACTTTTTTAAACTGAAACGCTCAGAATTTTAAAACGATTGGTCGATTTTGAAAAACTGAAATGCCTTGGGTGAATTTGAAAAACTGAAATGCTCGGTAAAAAGTAATTTTTTGCATATAGTTCATGTCGGGTTGTCGGGCGCGCTAAGTGGAAAAAACGTGCTAAATAGAAATGGTGGGGTCAGCGGGATCCACGTGGCGCAATTTTGCTGGATTCCGGATGTAGAGCTATGTTCGGAGACAGCACCGAATAAAAATTCAGGCCTATCTAAATTTAAATAACATATTAAATATCGCATTTATTTGTAAGTGTGTGATTATTACTAATTTTTTAATTTGTTCTATAATACATATTAATATAGCATTTTAGATGATCTAAAAGTGAGTTTTGTCTAGTAAACTTAATTTATTACAAGTTATTTTTTAGTGTCTACGTATTTATTGTTTAATAAGTTTTTCTATGTATGTAGCAATCCTAAGTAGATGAAATATTATTGATAGCATAGGATTTCACAGCTAGTGCATGATAATTGAACAGTGTTATTTATTTGATGCAACAACAAATAAAGACCTTTCACATCATATCAGTTGTATTACATTAATGTTCAATCAAATATTATTATAGTAGGATGATCGTGGTAGGTTGATATATGATAATTCATCAATATTATATTATTTTGTTAAAATAATAACAAAATAATATAAAATTAATATGATAACTAAAAAAGAAACTACAACTACTCAACCAAATAAAAAAAACTGAGTAAAAAAAAAGTGAGTTTATAAAAAGAAATAGATGTCCATGTCACTAATTTCTAAAATTAAGATTTAAAAAAATAAAAAAAAAGCTAGCCTTTAGTGCAAGTGGAGATTGAAAGTTTTGTAAAAGAAAAAAAACCCACATGATCTCATGGTACTCTGTCTGCAGGCCCAAACTTTATGGGGGTCTGGAATTGCCCTCTATTCAGGCTTTACAATTTGCTTACAATTGTTCTGTTATACTCAGGATGTATAACAACAAATTGATTTTTCCTAATTGGCTTGTTTAAAGATATTCCTGCCCATGGAAGCCTGCTCCGAGCTATGCATCTCATTTTGGAAATCTATCTGTACCACTGTTGTTGCTGTTAAGCCCAAATTCACCTTTAAAATTAACTCACAAACCCCCATTTCATTACACTGGGACCACTAGTTTTAATATTGTAAGATTGGAGATACCGCTGAGGGGCAATATTGGCTGAATGTTTCACATTCCAACGATCTTGTTGGACAATACATATTAGATGGGGTATGGGTCCTCCCTGAACACCTACCACCTGCATTATATAATGCTATCAATGGGATTCAAATATATGGCAACATTAACTCTTGCTTACTTTGGGATAATCGGGATAACAACATGTTCAGTAGTTATTTAATTGAGTTTTACTCACATCTGCATAGGTGCAATTGGTATAATCTGATATGGCATCCCTATCATTCTTTGAGATATTCGTGTTACTCTTGGATTGCTGTTGTAGGGGGTTTGAAAACTACTGATGCTTTGCAAAAAAGAAATATTACTGTTCCATCAATATGCAGCTTATGTCATAGTCACTCTGAAAGTGTGACACATCTATTTTTTGAATGCTCATACTCACATGTTGTCATTATAAATCTTATACCCTCATCTAATCGTTTGCTTCTAAGACCATCGATTCTTCATCTATGTGAGTGGATTGATGCAGAATTTAATGCTCATAAGAATGTCAAAAATTTATACCTTCTTTTTGTGAGTTGCTGCCTCTACTTCATTTGGAGAGAAAGGAATAGTAGAAGTTTTGGGAACATTATGAATAGCAGTAGTACTACCTCTACTATTATCAAAAGAGCTGTTTTTGATAGAGTTAGCAAGTGGAAATCTTTTTCACAAATATTAAGTTGCTTATGAATAATTACTTCTCTAGATGTTCATATGGTTGCTGATCTCTTGGTTTATATTGCTCTGCCTCTCTCGTTGTTGGAACAGAACGGATTGGTTTTCCTTTTGGCTGTCGCTGGGTGCTTATGTTTCGAAGCTTATATATGTTTGCCTGCTCTGACTTCAATGCCAGTTATGCCTATGCCTTGGATAATGATGATGCTCCCTTTGCAGGTTCTCCTTGGATGGTTTACGGGCAACCAGGGGATTGAGTTTTATGATGTTCTGTTGGTTCACATTCCTGGGTCCAGACTCTTTTTGGCTTAGGGAGCTGTATTTTTTATTGCTTGTTGTGTTTTCTTTGAGCAGGTTTTTTGTTGCTCTGTTGGGCATGCTCTTCTTTTTGGAGCTCTGATTTTTTGGGTTTTGTTTTTACTTGTAATTGTTAGTTATTTCATATTTTAATATACGGCTAAGCCAAAACTTTCCCCAAATTTTTTTTTTTTTTTGTAAGTTATCTGCATACAGGAGACATAATTCTGCTATTTAATAGCTTTTATTTCTATTTTTGTCCTATTCTCTAACATCTGATTTTCATCGTTTGCACGTGTGATTAGTTTTGACAAATCGATGCAATGTCATTTTCATCTATATGGTGATTTTCAATCAAATGAGTTGCTTTATGATTATTAAATTAGATTCTTTGAGTTCTTGATTTTCATCTAAGGGAACAAGTATACATGATTTTGAGCATATCAACAATAGACCTACATTAAGACACCATATAGGGTCCTACATAAGGTTATGCTTAAACTTCATTTGGAGCGGCTTTTTTACTGCTTCTTAAAGCATCTTTCTAGTACTAGAAAGCTGCTTTAAGAAACAGTAAGAAAACCGTCCAAACGGGGCCTTAGATTTCATTTGGAAGAGTTTTCTTACTACTTCTTAAAACAACATTTTAGTAAAAAATTTAAATTTTGTACTAAAAAATTAAAGAAACAGTAAAAAAGCCATTTCCAAACGAAGCCTTAATCTTGCTTGGTTCTGTTTCTTTGTCAGTGGACATAGAGGAAGTATCTCCTTACGAGCCTTTTCCAATCTTGAGCAGATATGTCTGCGGCCTCCCTCTATTGGGAGTGCCCTTACCAAGCATGCAGAGTTCTAGGGACATGTGAACAAAATAAAATACAATAGAAGCACTAGGGGTAAGCCATGAAGATAAGAAGTGAAAACAGGAGTTGAGACTTGCTTGCTGAATTTTAGTTTCACAAATTTTCAAGCCTTGGAGTCCCAAGTGACCTCACATGCCATTTATTTTCAAAAAGTATGGCCTTTACATGTTAATGACGAATTCTCAATGAACAAAATCCAGCCACAACATGAACTGAATCCAACCTGATATTCGAAGCACAACAAGCCTCTCATGCAGCAACAATGGTAACGCATCCAATGTAACTAGATTTAACTGATCAAATTTTCAGCATCCTCATGCTCCGAACCTTGACCGTAATGGAGATCAGAGCTCGTTGAGAACTTCAACCATCGATTCTTTTCAGTATAAATCAGACAAGGATGTAATATAAACCCAACAAGCATGGCAAAGAGGCTAACAATCATGACTTTGAAAGAAGAAAAAGTTAAAACCACTAGTATCAAAACGGTAGGAGGGATGAGCATCAAAGTGCAACCAAGAGTATCCAAAGGGACCTTATATGGACGAGGTGCTGATGGGCACTTTATTCGTAGCTTTATGAAGGCTATAAACTCCAAAATCATTCCAAAACAGTAGAGAAAATTCTCAGCAGCAACTATTTCTTGGAAGCTCATCCATGAGAGCAATAGCACACCAGATGCAGAAAAAAGAATCCCTACAAATGGTGTTCCATATTGAGACCTCTTGGCAAAGAAATCAGGTAGCATCCCTTTCTCAGCCATACCAAGAAGTTGATAAGAGTCGCTGCTCATTTCAGCAACAAACATCCCCATGTTTGACAACGCTGATGCACCTTGTAGCCACAATCTCAGCCAAACACCACCGAGTATTTTGGCAATTTCAGAAAAGTAGCCGTCAGTCCAGAGCTCCCTCTCCAGTGGAATAGCTCCTGTGCCAGTCAAAAGAGGATAAATATACACCAAGACAACTAATATTAAAGCGTAAAATAGTGCCTTTGGTAGAGTCTTCTTTGGATTGTGGACCTCTCCTGCCAAAGTGCTTATTGAGTCCCAATAATTCAAATTCCAAAAAAGGGTATTCAAATATAGACCCCAATCAACATTGTTAAAATCAGCTATCAACCATCGTGAAACATCTAGCCTTGGAATGGCTATGAACCCCATTACAATGAAAGGAAGAATTGAGAAAACTCCAAGAAATACAGCTACCCATCCAACTATAGCAAGCCCTCTGTAGTTCATGTAAGTCAAACCTACAGTAAGAATCAACACTGCCAATGTTCTCATAAGTCCCCCTCCTAGAGCTGGAATTCCAGACTTCAGATAGTCTAAAAAAAGAACAGGATACAGAGCATTATCTATGACACCACTTAGCCATTTCATCCAACCTTGTTGGAAACCCCAGAAAGGACCCAAAGAAGAAGACACCCAGAGAACATAACCACCATTCTCTGGAAACATTGTGCCCAATTCGGCAGTAATCAGTGCTTCTGGAATGCTCCATATTAATGGAAGTATTAAAAATCCAAGAATTGAAAGAAGAGGGCCGGCGGCATGAACACTGTCTTCTATTCCAAAAGGCCCACCAGAGACCTCGTAGAAGATTAAGAAAATAAGAGGGATAATGGAGACTTTCTGAAATTTTTTGGATTTTTGAGATTCTTCATTGGTGTCGCTGTCTTGTTGGCCACCTGTGTCCCCCATGTGCCTTGAAGAACCTTTGCTCTTTGCCGGACTTCTCAATTTCTCTGTGAAACATACACACAATCAGACCCCATACAAAGCTTACATTTTTTAATTTAAATTGAGTAAAGAAACCGCAGTATTAAAAGAACTGAATAAGAAAATGATCTTTATAAAGCTTCAGAGCTTTTGAATGAGATGCAGAAAGGTAAATATATCTCACATGCTTATTATGCAGCTATCAGAAATAAATCCATATGCTCCAAGCATATAAGTACTATATCCATGGAAAATTCTTCTGAGATATGGCATTACAACTTTTTCACAGGAAGTTCTTCTAACACCTCACAATACATATTAACAGTACTGTAGAGTGTAACAAGCATAAATATAATATTTTAATCATTAAACATCTAATACTTTTCATTCATTTGGAAAATCATATAAAATATCCACTAATATTTTCATTATATAAATGGAAACATCAAAACAAACTTATAGAGTCACTAATATAACTCCAAAGTAATACATCACTGAAATATTTACATACCTCAAATATAAACTTCACAAACAAAGATAAATACTAGCATAAAATATGAAATAACTTGTAAATTAATCTGTAACGATATTTTCCTTTCCCTTTCCTGTAACAACAGCCAGTAAGAAATATACTGGTGAGCTATGAGGCTCAATAAGCTTTGCAAATTAATTAACAGTTAAAATACAATTATTATAATAAATTAAAATATTCAAATTATCATTAAATAAACTTATCCTTACTTGTAAAACATCATAAAATCATATTTAACATTAGTCTTTACTTCTTCTAAAGTTTACACTGAATATCAATTTAATATGTATAAGATTTGGCTACACTTTCATAACAATATTCAATTGAGCTCAAATAAACCTGACATTATCGCTATTAAATTATATAGAAGTCTCATTTACCTCTTTAAGGATCCCTTTTGCCCCACCTACTATGTAGGTATAATATTCTCTGGGGTCCCTTTGATCCCACTTACAATATAGTCTCATTATGGAAACCCTTTTATCCCACCTACACTTGTAAGTCATACATCCTTTATAACCAAACTTTATTTTAAATTGATATTCACTAAGCTTCTTATATTCAAAGTTCTTATTTTTTTACAGGTCATCATAATACCATCTTTGTTTTACCATTTGTATAAAGAAATATGTATGACATATATTATACTTTACTTTAAATTTGATTCATTCAAATTTACAAGTGATTACCCACACATGAATACTTGACTGTCATATACATAATATAAATTGTATCATTTAACGACTAATTTTCTAAGTTATCCTTAAAAATCAATATATATATATACATATGTCTACAATAATAGAAAATATTCTTTTAATTAAAACTTTACATTACTTACCTACTTGAATATTCGTCTCTTCAATTCATCCACAACACACTCTTGTTCAATTATAAGTAAGCTACACAAATTATTTTTAATTCTCTCTAATTTCTATAATTTATTATTCAAATAAATTCGCATAAATTTCATTTATACTAGCATTATAATTTACCTCGTAACCTCCCCTTTGCATAGATCCAAAGAATCACACAATACAATATGATTATCATCTTTAAAACTTTGCTAAATTTAGAGAATATAAAAGACAATGACAACATTAGAATCCTTAACTTTTTCTTAAATTCTATCTTTTTTCTCTTAATCTTACTCCAAATCCTCACAAATGACTGTTCACTGTTATTACTCGGCTACCCAAACCGCACGGATTTTCTTTGTACTATAGTAATTCATATAAATGAATATACAATTAAATAATTTAATATTACTTATATTTATTTAATAGTAATTGATAAGATAAATAAAATTAATTTAAAATTAATTGATTTTTTTTTACCTGAATTCAGATATTACAAATCTTCCCTCTCAATAGAATTTCGTCCCCGACATTCGACTTTTCATATTTTATCAAACAGGTGAAGATACTTTAGTTTCATGTCAATTTTTTTTTCCCATGTAACATTCTCCAATGATCTGTGATTCCATTTTACTTTTATAATATGAATCTTTCTATTTCTCAATTTACGAATATCCCTTTTCATCTTCATTTCAAGTTCTTCAATATACATCAAATCTTTTTGAAGTTCAATTTAATTATGAGGAGCTCTCTGAATTTCATATGTAACCCATTTTCTAAGTATTGATACATGAAAATATTGTGAACATCAGACATGTGTGCAGGTAATACTAACTTGTAAGCAACTTATCCCACTCTTTCAATAATCTCAAATGGACCAATGTATCTAGGACTAAGTTTTCCACCTCGTCCAAATTTAGTAACACCCTTCATTGGTTGCACTTTCAAGAATACAAAATCTCCCACTTCAAATTCTATCATTTCATCCTTAGGATTATAGTATTCTTATTGGCGATCTTGAGCTACTTTTAATCTATCTCTAATTAATCAAACAATTTTCAGTAGCTTGATCCACTAACTATGGACCCAATAATTGTCTTTCACCAACTTCAAACCAACTCAAGGGAATTATGCATTTTTTGCTATATAAAACTTCATATGGAGCCATCTTAATATTGGATTAGTAGATACTATTGTAAGTGAACTCTATCAATGGAATATGATCTTCCCAGCTACCTCTAAAATATACAATCTTAACAAACCTTCCAGCACTTGAATCAGTTTTTCTGATTGACTATCTATTTGTGGATGAAATACAATACTGAATTTCAATTTTGTGTCCAAACTTTTATGAATATTCTTCCATAATTTGGATGTAAAATATACATCTCTATCTGCACAATAACCTTAAGAATTCCATGCAATCTGATGATTTTCCTCACAAATAACCTAGCCAATTTATCCACTGAATCAGTGTGACGAATAGGTAGAAAATGGACTGACTTTGTTAGTTTGTCAATCACAACCCATATACAATCATGCTCTTTCCTTGATCTGAGAAATCCTGTAACAAAATCCAAAGCTATTTCTTCCCACTTCTATTCTAGAATTGATAGATATTGTAACATTCCATGAGGTTTATGATACTTAGCCTTAACGACTTGACACTTTTCACATTTAATCACATATTTAGCTACATCTCTTCTCATTCCTAGCCACAAAAATAAGGCCTTTAAATCTTTATACATTTTTGTGCTTTCAGGATGGATTGAATAACCCGAATTATGAGCTTCATATAAAATCTCTAAAATAAGACCCGATTCCTTTGATATCCATAAATGCCCACTGCTCATGATTCTTCCCTAGTCATTTATATTGAAATCCTTTCTTTTTCCTGACTACCACTGCTAGTTTCTGATATTTTGTACTAGTCTTCTGAGCTTCAATGATTCCTTCTTCTAAAGAAGGATAAACTGACATCTGATTAAGGCTAACTGAATATTGACCTCCCTACATTCTAACTTCCAATTGTAAGACTTTCATTTCTTTAATCATCTCTTCTTCCATAGTAAACATACAATTCAATTGTGCTCTAGACTTTCTACTTAATGCATCAGCAACTATATTAACTTTGTCTGAACAGTACTGGGTAACAAGATCATAATCCTTTATAAATTCTAACCATCTCCTCTGTCTCAAATTTGATTCCTTCTGAGTGAAAATATATTTCGAACTTTTGTGATATCTAAAAATTTCACATCTTCCTCCATACAAGTAGTATCTCTAAATTTTTAATGCAAACACAACTGCAATTAGTTCTAGATCATGAGTTGGATAATTTTTTTTATGATGCTTCAACTGTCTGAAAATATAGGCAATCATCTTTTTATTTTGCATCAACACACAACCCAATCCTTTTAGAGAAGTATTGCTGAACAATTGAAATCCCTCAATTCTAAAAGGAAATGTCAACACTGATGCAGTTGTTAAATATTGTTTTAATTCTTGATAACTTTGTTCATAATTATCATTCCATTCAAATTTAATGTCCTTCCTGATTAACTTTAGATACAGGAAAAGCAATTTGAGAAAAGCCTTTAATAAATCTTCTGTAATATCCTGCCAATCCCAAGAAACTTCTGCCCTCTATCACATTAGTTGGTCTAGGCAATTCTACTACTATTTTTATCTTTTTTAAAATACTTTCTCCACTGACAATGTGCCCCAATAAGAAAATTTTCTTTGGCCAGAATTCACCTTTAGAATATTTAGAAAACAATTTATGTTGCCTCAATAATTCCAGCACAACTTTTAAATGATTTGCATGGTCTTCATCATTCTTGGAATAGATCAAAATATCATTGATAAAAATGATTACAAACTGATCTAAATAAGATTTGAAAATTCTATTCATCATATCCATAAATACTATTAGGGCATTGGTCAGACCGAATGATATAACAAAAAATTCATAATACCATATCTGATACCAAAAGCCGTCTTCTTAACATCAGATTCTTTCACTCTAATCTGATAGTAACTTGATCTCAAATCAATTCTGGAGAAGACAGAAGCACCTACTGATTGATCAAATAGATCATCAATTCTTAGAAGATGATACTTATTTTTTAATTGTTACATTATTTAATTCTCTGTAATTAATACAAAGCCGCATTGAACTATCATTCTTCTTGACAAATAATACCGGTGCACTCCATGGAGATGAAGTGAGTATGACAAAATCCTTTTCAATCAATTCAGCCAATTGACATTTCAATTCTTGCAATTCCTTGGTTATCATTCTATAAGGTGATTTCACAATTAGATTTATTCCAGGTTGAGGATTTATTGAAAATTCAACCTCTCTTTCTAGAGGTAAATCTTTTCATTCCTCTGAGAAACATCTAAAAATTCATTCACTTTAGGAATAGAATTTATATTATCACCCTTTTCTTTAGTTGCTTCTAACTTTGCTAAGAAAATCAAGTCACCTGCTCTTAAACTTTTATGAACATGACTAGAAGCAATTAAGGATGATATTACCCCCCTTTTACACTTGAAATAAAATACCTCTTCCACAGGCAAATCAAATCTGATCCTTTTCTTCCAATATTCAATGGTGGAAAAATATTTGACC